CCCCCCCCCCAGCCTACTTTAAAATAGAGATAATCACCATCTGGAGAGAACCTAACATTGTCCCCCAAACTTACCACTTAAAATTCAACTATAAGTGTAAAAAATATAAACTTGGCATTAAAAAATGTAAAATATGTGATTAAATTTGTGTATTAATTATATGTTGAAATAATATTTTTGATATGTTAGGTAAAATAGTATATTTTATTAGAATTAATTTCCCTGTTTCTTTTTATGTCTTTGTAAAATTTTAGAGAGATTAGAGAGATAGTGAGAGCCAGGCAGAGGGGCATAGGGAGAGAAAGAGAGAATCTCAAGCAGGCTCCATACTCAGCATGGAGCCCCATGCGGGCTTGATCCCACAACACTGGGATCATGACCTGAGCTGAAATCAAGAGTTGGACGCTCACCCAGCTGAGCCACCCAGGCGCCCCATATTTTTATGTCTTTTAACATAGCTCCCAGAGAATCTAAAAATATACATGTGGCTCACATTATATTTCTGCTGGATAATACTGCCTTCCACTGTAATGCTTTACATGAGCCAGTGATACTGTGTAGCTTTCCCTAGTATGTTGCGGTGAGACTTCATTTAGGAGATGAGGCTGCCATGCCATTAATCTCTGTGGTGTCTGAAAAAAAGAGAGTTGTAAGGGGATGACTGAGAACTTATTTCAGTATTGAAAACAATTCCAAATAGGCCTTGTTGAAAAAACCTGGGGCGCCTGGGTGGCTTAGTCAGTTAAGCATTCAACTTCAGCTCAGGTCATGATCTCACAGATCGTGGGTTCGAGCCCCGCATCGGGCTCTGTGCTGACAGCTCGGAGCCTGGAGCCTGCTTCAGATTCTGTGTCTCCCTCTCTCTCTTCCCCTCCCCGCTTGAGCTCTCTCTCTCTCTCTCTCTCTCAAAAAATAAATAAACATTGAAAAATAATAATAATAAGGAAGAAAAAAACCTCATCTTAATCTTAGTTTATAGCAACTGTTTCCTGTTTCAGAGATCACATTAACTAATATAGCAGTGGTAATTATTTGTTGCAAGGACTTTTTCCAAATTTTAAATGCATTGATTTGGTTTTACTGATCCTGTGACCCACGTAATAACTGTCTTCCTGTAATTTTGGTAGACTGCTTGCATCTTGTAAGATGTCTGTGTACTGAAATAGCATATCCAGATCAGACATCCATCATTGTCTTTGATATGCGTATATTAGAGAAGAAAGGATCAGGACTTCTATTAGAAGAACTAAGATTCTGAATTGGAAGTACTTCTTCTAGTACTCACTTCTAATCTTATATCTCACAACAGTGAACAATTTGAACAACTAATAGAGTTTATTCACATACTTCTAAAATGTGTTTCTCATAAAACTAAAATGTGGTTGTATCCTCTCGTACTTATCCTGGTGGGGAACAGGAAATAAGTTGATTTACCTGTGGTATGCACTCTGTTTACTTTGATAGAAATGGACATATTTTTGCACCCTCTGTGAGCTTTCCTATCATTACTAGCAATTGTGAAAGTCTTAGAAAAATTCCCCCCAAAGATTCTGTATTCTTGAGAAATCTCTTTTGAAAACTGAGGCCGGGGGCAGCTGACTGGCTTAGTCGGTGGACAGTGCAATTCTTGATCTCGGGGTCGTGAGTTCATGCCCCACATTGGGTGTAGAAATTACTTTTAAAAGAAAGGTAGGAAGAGAGGGAGGAAGGGAGGGAGGGAGCAAGGAATAAGAATAAAAGAAAGAAAGAAAACTGGGGCTATAAGCAACTCATCCTATTTTTGTATTTACACAAGAGAACATCTCATTTTTACCAAATTCAAATTCACTATGCTTTTTAGAAGTTAAATTTGGATAGATGATAAGAGCTGTTTAATTGTATATTCAATTCAGTGTTAAATCTAAGACTAAGTGGAACTTTTTGTCCCTAGCAATCCGATATTGTGATAGATGCCAACTCATAAAACCAGACCGCTGCCATCACTGTTCTGTCTGTGACAAGTAAGAAAACCTTTTACTTCTGAAATGTCTACATGTGGTGTTCCTCTTAATTAATAATGTTTCTTTCCTCACTGTTTTCCAGATCATTTCTTTAATTGTGCTTCTGAGAGCTTTATTTAGGAAATAGAACCAGTATAATCACTTGCATTAATGTGAGTGTGGCTAGAGCCACACTCACTTAGTCCCAATCCCTCCCCGGTTCACATATGGATAGGAGTCAAGTGCACGAGTTTTGACAGCTCAGACTTGGCTAGTTCTGTTTAACAAATGCTTCTGTGACTCTTTTTCATCTTTATAGAGATAGCTCATTTGACTTCATGACAATTAGATATTGTCAGATTCTTACTACACCACAGGGACAGTGCTCCTTATCTTAAAGATTGATATTAAAGGAAAAGGTTCATCCAGACTTTCTGTAAACCTGTTGACATTTTGCACTTTCTTTAACCTAAGATACTTGTGTGTTAACATATTGCATTGTTTGCAAAAAATGAGGTATTTTATTTGTATTTTAAAGCGTGTATATTTTTAAAGTTCTATAATTATATCATAATTAAAATTGGCTGTCATGTTTGTTTGAGCTGAAGACTTTCTCTATTATTCAACTTTTAGATAAGTAAGCAATTTTGCGATATTTTACTCGACACAACTCTTTTTTCTATGACTTTTATATTTGCTTTTTATACTTTAATGGGGCTAAAATTTTATGGTGTTAAGTTTTGTGTGTGTGTTTTTTTAGATGTATTTTGAAGATGGATCATCATTGCCCTTGGTGAGTATAGATCTGTATTCAAACAGGTTTCTGTCCCTTACAACTTAATAAATTGAATCATTTATCTGTTTAAATCTTCTTATAAATCTTGCCTTAGCTGACCCGGGAGGTACTTTCAGATTTAGTTTCTAGTATTTGTTAAATTAGCTCAAGGGAGCTTTTTTTATTCGGAAGAATTTCCATGAAATAACTTCAAAACTAGTAGGTAAACAGTATAAAAGTTAGTCATATTTGCTTAGAACAAATGGTTTTCTTTGTATGCACATGCCTAAATACAGAGACCCTGAAACACTTCCCAGAAATTACACCAAAATGTATTCATAAATTATACACAATACTTCACTGGAAGTTTTGAATAATGAATTAATTCATCTAAAACTTTAACAATTTATTTTAAATAGAACTTGACATTGAGGAGTAGAATAGCAAATACACAAATATACACATATGGGTTTCCAGGGACACCTGTGTGGCTCAGTCGGTTAAATGTCTGACTTCGGCTCAGGTCTTGAGCCCACGGTCCATGCGTTTGAGCCCGACATCGGATTCTGCTGTCAGGGCACAGCCCACTTCAGATCCTGTGTCCCCCAGTTGCTTTCTCTCGTTCTCTCTCTCTCTCTCCCTCTCTCAAAAATAAACGTTAAAATTTTTTTTTAAATAAACAAGTGTTTCTACTTAGAACGCATTAATATTTTAGAAAATAATTTTAGGTCAGGCAGCTGAACAAAGGGTTATTTGAAAGGTCTAATTAAGTAATGAGGGTTGATTTTTTTCTACCCCCTCTGTAATTTTTCTTCTCAAGGTGCACATACCTGTGACAGCTACACTGAGGTTACCAGTGGCTTGGATTTGGACACGAGGCATGATTACTGTACAAGCCTTGTCTTCTTTCAGGGGTGACCCCCAGAGAAAGGTAGACATGCTCACCAATGTTTGTTTTCAACAAACATTGTCAGGTGTTGGTAGAAACATACAAGTAATGATTCTCTCAGCTGCGGGAAGTCACAGGGAAATGTCGGGTTCACGGTACTTTCTCTCTCTAAATACCTCTTCCTTTTCTCCACCTAGGGTTTCTTCTTTCAAATGTTAAGGCAAGTTAATGCCTGGGAGAATAATGTTCTTCTCAAGGAAAGATCTCAATAAATAGCCTCCCCTGATATTAATGTTCATTTGTAGCCATTCTGTTGCTTTCCTCATTCTTTCATTCATTGTATTCTCTTTCTCAGCAGGTAGCTCCCCCCGCCCCCGCATATCCTCAATTGTAAGTTTTCTTAATCTTCCTTACATTCCTCTGTTGATCCCTCTAGTAGCTCATGTCGTCAGTTCCTCACCACATCCCCACAACCTGTCTGTGGGTTCACTGCACCTGAATAGCTCACCTGCCCTTGACAGCTCCCTGCCTCAAGCACCACAATTTCTTTTCTTCTCCGCCTGAGGGCTCTTTTCCACCTGAGGGGGTTGATTCGGCTGCTAAGCTGGACAGTCCCCGAGCACCAGGCCTTTCATGCACCCAGAGGCCACCCTCAACCAGCAAGGGCCTGGCCATCAACACATGCTGTCTTGGCTTTTCTCCCTTCCTTGTTTCAAATACACTGTATCCAGGTTCTTGTCCAGGGGCTGCTCTCAGGGGAGCCTGTACTGAGACACCCCTCTTTCCTGAATAGCTATGTATTCTAGGGAAAACTTAGCAGGGTGGGCAAGAACTCAGGGACCTCGAGTTGACTTTGATTTTTCTGACCTAAAGTAATAGGAGATCGTGATGATAAGGGATGGAAAGGTGGAAACAATCCGTATTAATCCCAAGCTTTGCACACCTATAAATCTTACCGCGCTCTTGCTATCCTCACTACAGCACAAAAATAGGAAATAATAATTTGCAACGATAGCAACTTTTTCTAAACCTGCAATTAATTTGGCTTTGTAAGAGGCTTCTAGCACAATCTGACAATCTTCCACATTTTGACAGTTCTTGTTAAATAAGTGAAGGGGAACAGATCTAAAGCTCTGGAGGTTTTAAACTATCTTTTTAAAAAAAGTTTATTTATTTTGAGAGAGAGAGAGAGAGAGAGAGAGAATCACAAGCAGGCTCTGAGCCGTCAGTGCAAAGGACTCTGGAGGGTTTAAAAGCGGGCTCGGATTGCGTAGCTGTACCTCCGCGTTGTCATGCTCACTCTTCATGGCCACGTGGAAGCTGTTGAATGAACCGGCCGCAGTACCCGCCAACTTCTGTGTCGTTGCTTCTCTGGGCTGTTGTGTCTCCTGTCATAGCCACCGTTGTCACAGCCACTGCCTCAGCTCTGGGCCCACCCTTGCAGCAAGCAGGAGCCAGGTCGGTTTGTGAAGGGATGAGTGCCAGCCGCCTAGTATTTGTCTGGTGCCAGCTGCGTGGAGCAGTCATTTCATTTACGTATTTTAAGTTTCAAATTAAATTTTTAAATTAAAAAATTTAGGGGCGCCTGGGTGGCCCAGTCGGTTGAGCGTCCTACTTGGGCTCAGGTCAGGATCTCCCAGTTTGTGAGTTCGAGCCCCGCGTCAGGCTCTGTGC